GGGGGGGGGGGGGGAAGGAAGACTAGTTGAATTTAAGATGATCCTCCAATAATTAGATTCCGTACATGGAAAATTATAGTAAATTGATGCAGGTTGTAGCTGTATTGGTCTACAGGCAAAAGGAATCAGAACTTGTGGCAGAGGTGATATCTTTTATTAGACCAACTAGATATTTGCAAGCTTTCAGGCAAACTCACTCTTCCTCAGACACAGGAGAATGCAAAGATTGTAACATTTCTCCTAGGTAGAAATGAAAATATGTATTTCACAGGAAAGCTGAAAGTGTTGTAAGATCTCCAGGATGGAATAGTTCATTTTGTGCAAATTTTGAAATGAAAACCTCACGATCCTACAAGAAAAAATAAATCTACCACCCTGGAACCCTAAAGCCAGGGTTTTTCCTGCAATTATCTAGTTGGTCTAATAAGAGATACCACCTCTGCCACGAGTTCTGATTCATAATAAATTATAAATCTTCTGTATATAGAATCTAATTATTGTGGGGGAGGGGGGTTATCTTAAATTCAGGTCACCTTGGAATTGGGTAAATGTGGTAATTTATTAATCGTGTAAATATGAGCTTTCAAATACACAAATCACACAAGTAATGAATGGTACAAAAACAACTTAAAAAACAAAACTAGTGATTAAATCCGTAAGTTTGACATATTTAGTGGTCTCCTTTAGTATCACTGGGTATCATACAAAATATTAAGAGGATTATAAAAATATGGAAATGTGAATTTGGCACTTGCCTTTTTATATGTATACAGAATTAATTTGATTAGTGGCTTGTTTCAAGTACTAAGTAATTATAATTTGGGTACCAAGTTAATAATTACAGCACTTTTGTTTCTAAGTAATAAAATTAATTTGATAAGCACCTGAAAGGGAGTTCAGATCCTCTCTGAGCCAGTTCTACTGCAAGAACAGCACTATCATGTCCATCTCCATTCTCCAAGGTATCTAAAATAGCACCCAAATGATATAAATTAGTTATAAGAAAATATGCAATGTTAAAAATTGTATATACAGTTGTCTGCTACAATTGTAATTAATCAATGTAGTAAGGGAAATTATTTCAAGTCACTGTTGAAAATAGGACTGATCCTGTTAGGTGGTTCAGAAAAAATGTTACTGTATTTACTCAAATAAAAAGTGAGGATTCTTCTCCAATAAGCATGAGGGGAAAAGCTCGTTGTCTTACATTCACATACCAGGAAACCTCGTGAAATACAGTGTCTGTCATTGCCTGTGCACTGTACAAAAGTAGAATGTGCTCAGTAATGGAAACCAACTATGAAGCTGATTAAATGCAGCCCACACCAAGTGTGATTATAAAACATATGGCTTGTTTTGGGCAAACAGGCTGGGGTTTCTTGTTTTGTTTGGGGGGGGGGG